CTTGGAATTTACTGATCGACACCGAAAATGTACCGGCGTCGCGCCGTCTCTGTGTGGACTCAGGCCCCAGTGGACTACGAGTCTACGACCGTTTAGCTGAGCGAGGAGTGTTGATTATCGACTGTCGACGGCGCATTCGGCCAGTTACCTCCACGTGACAGTTCCGGATCAGATAACTTTTTACGGTAATTTACAGCCTCCGTACACCCGCCCATCCGTCCATTTGTGTGCGGGAATATCTTGCCGGATGGGTCTCGATATTCCTTCAAATTGCTTCTCCTTGCTCTTCAGCTGCCCCGTTCTGCCCTGGAGCACGTCGACTCATGGCTTGATGAACATTTGGACTACCTTAATTGTGCTTGCCAATCCTCCGTTCCCATTCCTTTTTTCGCCGTGTCCAGACTCGAAAAGTAAGGAGCCAGCCAAGTGGGGCTTCCGATGTCGGCCCCGAGCCGTGTAGTACGTATCAGATCAATCAGATACGCGGTCACTCACAGGCTCAGGTAACCACAGGTGATAGCCGCCGACGGAGAATCCGAAAAGGAGGTCACGCTCAGCTCGGATTCCAAGAGCTAGGGGCCTGACATTTCGAGTAGTCGGGCAAGAATATCCTAGAGTGACGTTGAGTGAAATCATCGCCATCAATGATGCGATTCATGTGCTGGCAAGCTGGCAAGCTGGCAACTCAACTCCTGCTGTTTTCTCCACATCGGGGAGAGGTCTCTCCATTACGGATATTGAATGTGGTAATTGCAAGCCATGTAACTGGTCAAATGATCTTGTTAGCCTGAATATTCTGGAGTACGACTGAGGAGAAGCCACACTTCCTCCAAAGTGGAAGTTGGTTACCCCAACCTTGAAGTCCAGATAACCCCGCATCTTTATCTGATCCTGGTCTTCCTAACTGGACGCCATCAATGCCAACTAAGTTTGACGTGCATCGGCTCAGCAGCGATTGCTCGGAGGCAGCCGAGTGAACCGAAACTCTTTACTCCTCTGTCGCGTCGGTGAATAATGCTCGCGGTGGCTGACGCTTGGCTTCTCAGCGCGTGACCTCGTCGTGTACTACACCGTAGAAACGCATCCAACGGGCTGTACACCGAAGGAGCCAGGGCCAGCGAGGTTGTATATCGGCCCAGCCACTTGCCAAGGACATACACCGAAAGTGAAGGACGGAGCGTCCAGTTACTCTCACCGAGGGTGGTAAAAGCCAAAAGTACATCTTACGTTTGAGGTCGCTGCTATAAACTTAGCATGCGAGGTATGTAACGGGTAAACCGCGGTTCAACCGCGGAATTACTTATATGCCTCATTTGCCTCACTTTAGGACGGGAGCGGCTAAATATTTGCCGTCTATTCGACCACGTCGGGGTTTCGAGTGGAAAACTTTGCAGACTGAAACCAGTACTCCATTTTTTTTGATCTGCGCTTGTTCCGTCCGCTTGCTTTTGACAGAAGAGGTGTTCACGGGGTACGTATGCTTGCGCTGCGGTGATACGTAAGCCGCTGTCATCTCTGACGGTTCAAGACTCTCCATCTATAGCCATGACGTTTATGGCAATCTTCGAATTGAATTATGTACACCACTACACAATCTATGTACAAATCCCTTCCAACTTTTCCTTCGCAACTTCCGATTCCTTGCCGATATTCTAAGCGTGAAGCGGTGCGGGCCGATAGCCGACCTCCTACAAATCCAAACGCATCAAGTAGGTTGATCCCCGTTAGCAAGAGGAACCGCATCCCGCCTAACCAATGCCACCGGGGGCACGAAATGATGCCGCCCCCGAACCACGTAATATACAGATGCCAGCACAATCAGCCCGATGTACATAACAATACTCCAGTTCATGGTTTGCACGTCCACCGTAGAAGTCAGAGGGAAGAAGGCGAACACAAAAATCGGCAGAAGGAAGGCCATGGCGGCAATGTTGATAGCCATCCCGAAGCGGCCAAGGGACCAGCGTCGATGGGGCAGAGGTTCCTTCCGGAAGCGCTTCAATAAGATGCATCCGATTGAGAGGATGTATGCGGACATTAACGACGTGATTGTTAGGGAGACGATTGCGCTGAGGGCTACGTAGGAGCCGATGTTGATGAGGGATAGGAGGATTGTTACGATGAGGGAGACCATGACGGAGTTTAGGGGGATGTTCCATCCTGGTGTAACCTAAGCATTGAGTGTTGATTAGTATACCTCGCTCGATGTATAGGAGCTGGGGTGCCGCTTACATAGGCGAAGAATGATGAGAATGGAAGCCCCTTGTCCCGGGCAAAGGACCAGAGCTGGCGAGATGCTGTTGCGATTTCGGTAACAGTGCTTGCCGTCAGCGTTATGATGAGGATGGCCGTCATGGTGTTAGTGGCAGCGTAGCTTTGAGTTATGTTGAAGAATATTTGGATGAATGGGAATCCGGTATCGGTTTCCAGGATTTCGTTGACATCGCCGAGAGTAAAACAGAGTGTAATAATCATTATAAACCCTAGAACCGCGTTGACCCCAACAGCGGACATCATAGCCTTAGGAAGCGTCCGAGACGCGTCTTTAATTTCTTCGGCTGGTTACATATCAGTAAAATGTGTAACAGCAAAAAAGCCGACAACTTACACATATGCACGGAACAGTCATAGCCTATCATAGAAGTAATTGTTGTTGAAAAGCCAACGAGAGTTGCAGTCCCATCGCTATTCCATCCACCACCGTTGTTGAACTCGGTGAAAACAGCCTTTGCGTTGTTTCGAGGACCGAGCACCCATAACGGAATGATGATGGCAAACAGTCCGACAACGTGGATGATTAAAATCAATGCCTCCACCATCGGAAGGTTCTTCGCCAAGAAGGTGTTGAACAGGATTGAGAACGTCGAAATGGCTATAACCAATAGAGTGCCATGCCAACGCTCAAATGTATACCCAGGGTCATTGAGGACGATGAGACCCTGGATGATTGTGCCGGCAAGCATGGAAATAGTCACAATCGCACATTGCCATCCGATTGCAGTAAGCCACCCTACCACCATTAATGACTGTTGTCCACAGTGGAGACATCGTGGACGTACCAGTGATGTAGCTCAAGAACTTTTGCGCGCGGCGAGGAGCAAACTCGGACACCCAGTGATATTGCCCTCCAGATGTTGGTGACCTATATTAATTAGAAGCATTCAAAACGGAGGTTGGAACTCATACATGCTAGCTAACTCGGCAATGCTGGCGAAGACAAGGGTGAATCCAGCGGTGACGATTATGAATCCCCATATTAATCCAGCAGTACCCCCATCGGTCAGCACGCTGCTTAACAAACTATTGACAGGTCAGTTACACCATCTGCCACATGGTTGTCGATAGGTCATACGTCAAAAGAACTTCCCACGTGCAGATCAGCGTGCACGCGAAACCGAGAATGGAGATAAATCGGAAGTTTCTCTGTTCAAAGCCATTAATTTGCTAATGTGGATATTGATGGTATATAACTCACGCGAAGAACTTGAACTCGGCCCATGGCATTCATGTCATATTGGTCTACCACTGTGCCCAGATACTTTGGAGCCACCGTTCCTTTGGGCCTAACCTCAGCATAGTCAACCGTCACATCGCCAGCATTTTTCGTGTTGGCAGGATTTATCTCGTTGGAACTCATAGCGAGGAGATGTTGTGCTGACCGAGGGTGCTAGACAGTGGATTTGGATGTAATATCGGGATTTTAAGAGCCACTATGAAGCTCACCAGGAAGCCAGTCCAGCTCCAATCAGGGTCGGAGGCCCTCAATTGAAAGAAAGATTGTCAATAGTTTTTGGTCCCGAAAATTACTCCTGAAGCAGGGAGTTGGGAATTGAAACCATGGGGAAATCAGTGCAGGTTTCGAGAAAATCTCATTTCAAGATCCCTGCACAGCCAAGTCCTCGGTGGAATTTCTGCGTGGGAACTTGGAAGGATTGTTGACGCGACAATGGGATTTGAGTTCATTTATTTGCTTTTTCTATCGATGCCCGCCATGCATAGGGAGGAAAAACGTGGGCCTCTTCGATGCACAACTCGCCAAATGACAGGAAGCGTCAAGGCATGCTGGTCTGACTGTCTGGAACCCATCGACAGCGCAGATCATTCCATTCCTGCAAGCCCGAGAAGGCCGGACTTTCGTCCAGGGCTGGGGAGCCGGGAGCTCCGAAGACTATACGAACGAAAATGTTTTTTTTTTTTTTTTTTTGAAGCGACGGCCTGTCAGACAACATGGCATCGCACATCGTGTGTGTGCATTGGTACGACTGTGGAGACCGGCGAGTCCCCATAGGGTCCTCACGTTAAATCGAATCTGGAATTCTGGATCATGATGGCTTTCCTCTGTGCCACATCATCCATGCCGTGGAACCTGGGCGCTCAAATGTCCATGAATCAGACACTTTGTTTCCTCCCCGCACAGAAACGACACGGATTTTTGAGTCCTTGCCTTCATATCACAAGACGGCTGGGGAATTCCTTGCGTTATGTTAATTTGCCGCCAGTAATCACGTAACTATGCAGCGCGGCAGCATCCCCTTGTTTGAAGTCGGGTTTGGTTTGGCCCCCAAGGACTCAATGCTTGCTAGTAGAAAGTATAAGAGAGTGCCCGGAGTGCCAAGTGCCAATTGGAAAGGAAGCGGACAGTGGGCCGACATGACCGATGAACCTCAGTGGAACACGGCCAGAACCGAGATCCTTGTCCACGGGCCCTTATCGAGAATCCCGGAAGTGGGTATTAATATGGTCCCTCTCTATCAGACATTGGTTTGGCCGATCGTGCTTGGGTGATCCCGTCAGCCACCATACAATCACACATCCCGCAGGCAGTGTACCGGGGGCTCTGAGGTCTTGCTTTTCGTCATTCCGCTCTCCCTTGCTTCGGTTTCGAGCCCTTCGTATATTTAAAATTAACCTCGTGGCACGAGCATGGGGACCGGAGACCCCTCCGGCCAGCCCAGCAATGGTCCTTCTCGCCAGTGGCGTTCATGCATTGCGCGTAGTCCCTTGCGGCGCAGTCGTTCGCGAGGCGAGAAGAAGAAAACATCGATTTTCACGCAGAGTCCTGCAAAAGCAAAAAGCATTGACATCTGACTCTCTGAGTAGCCTTTGCCCCGCTGCCCTACAAGCTCTGATTCTGCAATCTGCAAACATGGAAGGAATATAACCGCACCTTGAATCCTTTGCTGCTTTTGTGCTGTCCTTGCTGGCTCAACTGTCATGCCGGGACCCTATGTACCACCAGGTCAATCGCCGCCATTCCAGGTGGTAGATGACCTCCACCACGGAGCATGGGTTATTATCGTCACTGCTTTGGGGCTCGTTATGTCGCTGACCAGCTTCTTGATTCGGCTTTACGTGCGGCTGGCTCTTAACCCTTCGTTTGGGCATGATGACTATGTCTTCCTGGGGGCAATGGTAGGGATTAATACAGCTCAACTGAGAAGAATAAAGGAATTGACAATCTCACCAGGTCACCGCCGTCATCCAAGCATCATTATTGTTCGAGGCGTGTTCGAAAGGGTTGGGAACGTCGATCGATTTACTTGAGCAGAGCAAAGTAAACAGCGTCCAAAATGTGAGAAGATTTCCGGCTTACCAACCACAGTCACCTGCAAGATCCAGCAGCTAACAGCTCGCAGCTCTTGGTCGCAAGTGACATCTTCTATCTCATCACCCTATACACTACCAAATGTTGCGTCGTGGGAATCTATCTTCGCCTTACCCCCAAGAAACTACACAACCAAGCATCCTGGGGGACCTTAATTCTCTGCACCCTCTGGGTGATACCAGCGATCTTCATTCTCGCAGTGAATTGCGGCTTGAATCAGCCCTGGACAACCTCTGGAGGACAATGCGAGAACCTTGTACGTCTACAGTGACCCAATGTCGACACCTGAAAAGAGGTTTTGGCTGACTGACATTGTTACACTCTCTCCAGCTATCACGATGGCAATTCATCGTCGCCCTAGACATCACTACTGAAGTGATCCTCTTCAGCCTTTCCCTCTTTCTCCTCTCCGGCGTCATGATATCCATGAAGCGCAAATTAACGATCGCCTTCGCCTTCGCTTTTCGGCTTCCGTGAGTTGCGTGAAAATCCTCTGCCATTATTACACATATACATACCCAATTACTCCGAACAACTCCCCCCTAAACAACAGAGTTCTAACAGCCACTGTTATAACAAAGAACAATTATCTTCGCCGTCCTCCACATCTACTATATCCAAAAAAACATGGGCTCGGGCGACCCAACCCTCGACCCCGTCATCCCCCTAATATGGGCCCAGGTAGAACTCCACTACGCCCTAATCGCATGCAGCATCTTCTGCATGCGGCCGTTCATGACAGCCGTAAGCACGAATTACGGAACCGCAGGCGACTCCACACTGGAAAGCAGCAGCCGGGAAGCGTCGAAGTACTATAATAAATCGTCGGCGTCAAAGTCCGGTGGGTCAAGGGCTAGAGGGGCAAGGTTGATTGGGAACGAGACGGTGACGTCTGGGTTTGGGGGGTTGCTTAGTACTGTTAGCGCCAGCCGTAGTAGTGGTGTAAAGGGAATGGGGACACAGGCGGGGAGTGTACCGTCTCGTGGGACAGATGAGATTGAGCTTGTGGATCAAAGGAGTATGGGGAGTGATGGGAGCGCGAAGATGATTATCCGGAAGGATGTGCAGTATACAGTTGAGTATGATGGGTTAGAATCACCGGGTGCCAGCTCGCATAATGAGCCGGGTTACTGGGATCGACATCGAAATTGAGACGGAAATTGGTGCCCTGGATTATAGAGTTATAGAGTAATGCTGATTATGTATACGAGAACAGCCTAAATGAAAGATAATTTTCCTAGAGAACCCAGCACTCCTTGGTCCACACATAACGCCTGTTCACAACATAAGATCGCTATATATATATATATATAAAGGCCATTTTTATGACGGGCGCTTAAAAGGGTGTGCTTCCGTATTTCTATATATTGTCAGCCATTGGTCTTTGTGACTTCAACAGAGGGAGTGGTTTGATGAGGAGAGCACTTACAGCACATATTCATCCAGACTGACGAGATCGGGCTCCGAGAAAATGAGATAAAAGTACTTCAGCGTTTCTGCTAGCCAAAAACTCTCCATAAAGTCCATTTGAGCCGGCTTCGTCTTCTTCACATTGTCAATGGCGGCATGACCGTACTTCGTTCTTGTGGTTTTCTCAATGTGTTTGAACATGCGCCATGCATCATCCTGGTATTTCTTGTCGCCTGTGATGCGGTAGAGTATAAACACAGACTCAATCGCCTCGGGCCTTCAGTATTCATGTCAGTTAACTTTGAAAGTGATCGATCTCTTGGAGCTGCTTACCTCAACATATAGCGTGCATCCGCGACTTGAGTGACACCTGGATACAGCTGGAGCTCCTCAATAAGGGCAATAGCCGCCGCATCGGTTTCTGCGATGTTGGCATGCTTAGGCGGACGTGACCGCACGTCTTGATACCATTTACTTTCGTCCCATGGACAGTTCTCTGCGTCTTCGCAAGGGCTGACGTACATGGTTTCGGGCATGATTCCGGAGGGCATGATGTCGTACGCCCAGATGCAGCCGTCAGTCAACTTCCGGGCAACGGACAGCTCTTCAGAACGATTGAATATTTTAGCTCCAATTCCCACTGTACCTCCAAGATAACATTTGAGATGTTCCACTTGCGGGTCAATCTTTTCTGTGTCGGACTTTGATGAGGCGTAAATGTTCCCTGAGAACAGAACATCTTTTCCGTCTTTGGTCATGGGCCGAAACAGAAGTCGCTCCTTGATCGGCGTAATCGCGGTCTCGTACATTCGTTGATACTGTTGCGTCTGAGCCCCAAGAAGCATGTGCTCCTTGGGAAGGTACTCATATGTTGAATCTGCCATCGCACCAACAGTGTATCGAGGGTCTTTAAATCGCATCGAGTGGGCATCCACCATCATCGGCCATAAACCAGGCACCTCAGTGTTATTTTGGGCCGATTCTAGGTTATCCGTAATTCGTTGGATCGCGTCAAAATATTTATTATCCCCAGTCAATTGTGACATTCGCGTAAATTCTAGATTCAGAGAGCCGAGTTCTGCGAGCACTGTATTTGAGCTTGGGTATATGTCCAACCCGGATGCGGATCTATGGAGAGTCAATGTTGGTTGGTCTAGTTCAGATTGGTGACATGGTCGGGGATTGTATATTCCCACCTCGTCCACTCCCACCGAGATTGGGGCATTCTGTTCTTGGTATCAAAAGAACCGTAAAGAAAGTCGGCGACCTCGGTTGCCTTCTGCAGAAGTATCGGATACTTGCCGTGTGTAAGATCATTGGCTCCAAGAATACCTCCGAGATATCGGATGTTAGTCTCAAAGACATTGATTTGAAGTGATTCAGTTGTTGAGAAGTCGATGTGCTCAAGTGCTTGCAACGCTTCCTCAAACTCATTCATAAGGCCCATGATAACCAGCGAATCAAGGGAGTCGACCAGTGTAGCTGCCCAACCGGCAAAAGACGTCCTATATCCCCCGCTCAAAGGTGATAACTCATCTCGCATCCAGGCATTGTCCTTGTATCCATCCCATGCATGCTCAAACGCTTTCTTCACCGCATTCTGCTTTCTTTTCCGCCACATGCGACTGAGCCACGATTCCGAAGGGAAGTCGTACTGGATTTGAGGGATCGGAGATGGGGAGGCGGTTGGCAAGGGGGAATAATCGGAGATCGGGTGCTGTTCTTCATTTTTGGTCCAACGTATACTATTGTCGTCTTTTGGAGGCTTGGTGATGCCTTCGTGTGGATGGGGTGGATGGTGTTCAGTATATGTTACTTCCGCGCCTGGCGGCAAGGTATTGAAAAGGAGATATATAAGAAAGGTAAGAAAGAATGCAGGCAAAGCATAGCTTTTCCTTATTAAAAACATGGCTTCTGAGGTAGAGTGAAAATGATAGACGTCAATTGCATTGAAGGAGTGGACAGCTGTTTACAGCTTGTGCTAAATCGATCATTAACCAAGTAGCAACATTGAACGAGTGTAGATTCAGCGCGCGAATGCCAGGTGCTTCAGGCCCTCAGCTGGGGAAATATGTGAAGAATTGAAACCACCGGCCGAGGGGGATTCCCATTCTATCAAGGGTTGTGGACTATGGAGAAGCAGGTCGGTCAAGATATGGAAGATCAGGGATCAATCACTGGCCACAGCACCAGTGTCAAGCCATTCAAGGGAGATGATCGCCACAGATTCCACTCTTGGATGCTGGCTGTATCGATGGGCAATGATGGCAACGGGTTTGCCTCCATCGAGATCATGAACTTCCGATTTCCAAGAGCCTCGGGAGCGAAGCTACAAAGTACCCTTTGCTTTATTGTTAGTGCGCCGGCTGTCTCAGTCCTGGCTTCTTGGGCGAGTCTGGAATGCCTGACGTGAGGGGAGGGGATTGCATTCGAGCCCAAATAGATCTTCCGAGCGTTGCGTAAGCTGTGGTCCCTGGGACTGAGACAAGCGGTCCAGAGCGAATCTTCTCCATCACTTCTATTCTTAATTTGGGGCGCCGCTCAGCCTTCCAACTTCCCGCGTCTTGGCGATGTTGGCAGGGGTTTCTTCTGAGATCGAGCTCAGTGTGAAAGCATTGATGGATTTTGTTCCACAATCAAGATGGTTTGAATGGGCGAAGAATAGTTGAACGGTCAAGGCCTCAAGGGGCAGCTAAACCTAGTGACACTCTGGAGACGGTGGGAACCGCCCAAGGATTGCATTGACCCCAGAAGTGGGCCATCAACAAATTCAACTCTCAACTCAGGGACGGAATGTTTGTCTGGTTTGTACTTTCGCCTCAGGCAACGATTGACGGCTTCAACATCTCGAATCCATACAGACCTCTCTTTCCGCCTCATACCAGCACGTACAATCCTCCCAAATCCATAGTTTAGCGCAGCTTTGTTTATCTGGTACTCACTGTATTTGCACGTCTCTCTTCCTTGAGGTCAGTCTTTAAATACACCTGAACATTTGTGCTTCCCTGGGTTAACAGAAAGTGTAGTAAATTTAACTTGGTGTGAATGTTAAGCTATATCTTGCATCAACTGTAATCAACCCTTATTTATTGAGGGGTGCATCTGTTATCAGCAAGTCGCACTATTGCTTGCCTCTTCAGGAGACCGCTTCCTAGCCTGACCGGCGTATAAGAATCTTTTCCGACCCGAGCGACGACATGCCTCTCACAGGGTATAGACCAACGCCATGAAATCACTTCCATATCACAGCTAACAAATGACAGAGTCTTTTTCATATCTTCAAATCCAAATGCCTCCACGGCCCTGGCTACAATAACAGAGCGCATTAGCTCTAAATTCGCCGACGAGTCAACACCCGTCGCACGCTGGGCCCTCGAGCACAAATTGATGCGAGACACTCCGTCATGTATACCATCATCAGGAACTAAAAGACCTACGGCTCCAAAATACATGCAATTTCTTTCCCTGGCACATTATCCCACCCATGGATTCGTATACGCTTCACAGCCACCAGATGGGACTGGCCATGGCTCAGCAGCAGCGACAGCGACTCCTACCCCATCGAGCTCACAATCCTCGCAGCCTGCACATGTTACAACACCAATGACTATGACAACCGTCCCGCTTCCATCTACCAACGCACTATATCAGCATTTCGTACATGCCTGCCAACCCTTCTGGTGCCCCAGACACACAACTGTTGTGCCAAACGGCATGGTCTATGAAATCGGCGACTTCCGCGTTCGTGTCGGCGATGTACGACAAACGCAACCGACTGCGCGGGTGCGAGGAACAGTCGTTGAAATAGAATGGCGGGGCCCATCCCTGGTTAGCACGCTATCAGGATTGTATCAGTCAAGAAGGCAGAAAAAAGCAAGCGCAACGCATCCCTATACATGGGGCCAGGGAGAGAATGACGACGATGATTCCGGCATTGATATGGCTTTTCCCGATGCCGTGGAGGAATCAGATATCGATGCGGAGTATGCCGCCACTGCATCTTTGATTAGGGAGTTTTGGGCAAAATTGGAGCTCGAAGGGGCTAGAGAGGCTATTCTTGTGCCTGATGTGGGGAAGGAAGTCAAAGAGCAGCTGCGGAAGCTGAAGCAGGAAAACAAGCAGAATGCTAACCAGAAAAGGAACGAGGATGCGAATGGGCAGCAAATGGATGAAGATCCTGATCCGAATGCCGGTGTTGATGTCGCGAGGCAGTTCATGGAAATTCTTAGATTTAACCGATGACTGCTAGATTTTGCTAGCAGTTGCTAGTAATATACAGAGCACCTGGCTAACATCACAAAAAAGCTTGGCTTTCTGGGCGCTGGAAGTATAGGACAATGACGGCATGACTAAATACCCACCTAGGTACGGAGTACACCTACAGCATGATAGGCCAGCCAGTATCATTATTTCAAAAGAGGCTCATCAATGTCATCAGTCTAAAAAAAAATGCACTGAGTAGATCACCCGTCAAGATACGAGGCCGAACGCATGGCCCTAGTGCAACAGGAAAAATGAAACAGGTGAAAGCCAAAATTTCAGTAAATGAGCAAAGGTGGGTAGATGGGCACCAGATAATAGGTAGCTGAGGGGAGCTCGATCATGGATGGCTGTGACCTTCCAATTTGCGAAGCTTGGAGCCCTGGACTACCAAACTCTACGCATCTTTCATTGGGGAAAGGGAATAATAAAGAAAACAAAGGCGCACTGAGAACAAAGTGAAAGTTGCAACAACCACCAAGTGCTGCGCCCACAATTAGATAGGCTACATTGAATGATATGACAACTAAGATGAGACATTTGGGAAGTGTCCACACCTTCTTCGCTAACGATAGACATCATAAGATAAGAGGCATTTATTTTTGCATCATAAGTTGGACGAATTCGTTGTCTGCAGTGAATTAGCATCGGTTCTGACCGTCAAATCATAATCGGGCAAGCCAACGTACAGTCAATCCGACCATCACCGTCCTGATCCGCCTCGCGAATCATCTCGTCGACTTCATCATCAGTGAGCTTCTCACCGATGGAGGTCATAACGTGACGCAGCTCGGCAGCCGAGATGAAGCCATTGTTATCACGGTCGAAAACCTTGAATGCCTCCCGAATTTCCTCCTCGGAGTCGGTGTCCTTCATCTTTCTAGCCATCATCGTGAGGAACTCTGTTTGACAGTTAACAGTTGTTCGATTTGACGATAATTTTTATTTCTGCAAGGCCACGTACCCGGGAAATCAATAGTGCCGTTGTTGTCAGCATCGACTTCGTTGATCATGTCCTGAAGCTCAGACTCCGAGGGGTTTTGGCCGAGCGAGCGCATGACGGTGCCGAGCTCCTTGGTAGTGATCTGGCCTGAATGGTGTGTCAATATCCAATTACATAGAATTATGATGTTGACATTGGGCGTATGCGACTAAGTTATCGCGGGGAGCACACTAACCATCGCCATCCTTGTCCTGTTAGGCGCAGAATAAATTAGTGCCCTGTCGGAAAAGCCACATAATTGATACCGATGGGATCAATGGCACTTACAAATAGGGAGAAGGCCTCCTTGTATTCGGAAACCTGTTCTTCGGTCAAAGAGTCGGCCTGGGGGTGAACTCGTCAGCTCATCTGCACAGGACACCGCAATAGATCTGCCCCGCAAAGCGGGGGTGCGTTTTCACGTAGCATCCACGATGGGAAGGAAGAGGAATATACCATGATGATAGTAGTTGGCGGGGAAGTTGTAAGACTGGAAGGCGGATAGGAGATGAAGCAGGAATGAGGAGAAATAACACGAGCGAGGAAACGGTGGTGGAGATGAGCGGTAGTGGGGGGAAGAGAGAGAGTTAAGGGGACTGACTCCTAATATTCGCCTCAAGCTAACAATAATAAACCAGCAGCCAGCACCAGCCACTGAGCTGGATGCCTGGCAAGGCGGTCGCTTAGTGTGACCCGCTGCAACCACTCTTCTAGGCTGAGGGCTGAAGGGCTGAATCTCAGCTCGTACCAATGCTCATCAATGCCGACATCTCTGTTGTTCTTGAATCAACATTATTGGGATGGTCTTATCCAGTGACGTGTTCCCTTGGCGAAATTGGAAAACAACGAATACAGCCTGCGAGTGGCCTCCTGCTTCTCTATGAGCCGCTCCCAGTTTCTCGACTCAACTACTTCTGACCTCTCTGCAGTAACACGCAGTTAAAATCGGTATAAACTCATACATCATATTCTTACGCAATATTTCCCCGCAGCAGGACTCAGATCAGCCTTGGGCACTGATACCACCTTGCATGGAGCCCTGTTCGAGTCCGACTGCCCTTTTGAGCCTCTAGAGGCGTACAAAGCCTTCGCCAGAAGATTATTCACTTCCCTCACACTTATAAAGGCCAAGAAAGAACTCATACTCAAATAATAAAGGGCCAATCTGGCTGTAATCTGGCTTTGCACCGTTGCATCGTCTTCTGGCAGGGTAGAGGCCAGTAAATGATCGCAGAAGGTAGTGTGGATCGACAGGCACAACGCAAGAATTGCATAACCGTTGTAGAATGACAAGCTCAACACCTCTTTGTTGCATCTACCGATGCCCATTATTATTATTTTTGATCGGTTCCGCAGCTAATAGCAGACGCTCCTTGACTCCTCAGTGTATCCAGCAGCAAGTGAGGGGTCTCCTATCCGTTAGCATTCAAGGCGGCGGCGGGCCAGCCGCGGGCCAGGTACAGTGGCTCCCAAAAGGGCTAGCGTCTATCTCTCACGTGTGCAACAATGATGAAGCTGCCGATGTCCGCTGCTCTGGCTGGATCGCCGTTACGTCGTGCTAGTTTGGACCTCGAAACAGCTCTATTGCCACTTCCTTAGCCTCTTAATTTAATTCAGACCTTGATCACATTATAGACGACTATACTGTGCTACCCAATCTTTGTTTTTTAAACCAATGATGCTCAGCCTAGCATAAAGGACACTTCGATAGGATCCGGGGAAACAACGCCCACGATGTGGCGGGACCGTACCAATCTGTACTTAACAGCACACCCTCTGCGCATGCGTTCCTGATACACTTATACTGATGCCACCTCTCTTGCAGTTACATATCCTACCGCCAGTCATTCACACATCACCCTGCGAAGAAGCCGAGATACCTTGGAGCTACCAATGGGTTCTCCGACGTCGCATCACAGTCCGAGGAAAGTCGGCGACTTATATCCGATTCCACAGGGATAGATGACGATGGCGATGCCATCATTGAGATGGATGTTCTCCCGCCACGTTGGGTCGACGTGCAGGAGGATGTGACGGACCTGCTTGCGGACATCGCCCAGAAATCGGCACAGCTAGATAAGCTACACCATAAGCACCTGTTACCGGGATTTGGCGACGAAGATGTACGGAAACAAGACGAGCGTGTGATCGAGCGATATACACAAGAAATCACGCGCGGCTTCCATGAATGCCAGAAGCATGTCAAGCGAATCGAAACGATGGTGCAAGAGGCCAAGCAACAAGGTGGTGTGAGTAACGGAGACGAAACCATGGCAAAGAACATTCAAATATCATTGGCGGCGAGAGTACAAGAGGCTAGCGCTCAGTTCAGGAAGAAACAAAGCACCTACTTAAGAAGTAAGGCATCTAGACTATCCTCCCCAAGCATTCAACTCACAGATATGTCGATAGAATTACGAGGACTCGAAGATACGGCGTCGCAATTCGATCGCTCCGCCACTCCCGTGCAAAACCCATATACAGACCCATCATTAATGGAGTCCGATGCCGATAAATCCTTCTCCCAAACAACCCTACTACAAACTACTCAGCGCATGACTGGTCAGAACGATGCCGCGATTCTACAAAGAGAACGAGAGATCAACGACATTGCAAAGGGAATTATCGAATTGTCCGACATATTCCGTGAACTACAGACAATGGTCATCGACCAAGGCACTATGCTGGATCGCATTGACTACAACGTGGAGAGAATGAATACCGATGTCAAATCGGCGCAGAAGGAGCTCAATGTGGTACGTTAATTAATCCCAAAAACAACCTTGCTAATTATAAATATGCAAAGAATCTCATTGACTTGACATATATAGGCGACTGGCTATCAACGGCGAACCACAAAACGTAAAATCATGCTATTACTATTTCTACTAGTTGTGGGAATGATTATTGTTCTCCTCGTGAAGCCAAAGAAACATGGGTCTTCAGACCCTACGCCTCCCTCGCCACCTTCTCAGCCAGACAGTCAACCGCGAGCATTTGAAATAACTTACAGGCGTTCGCGGTCTTCGTCGTTGACTCGTGTTGCAAGGAACAAATGGGCAGATCCCGATATATATCGATAGTTATTTATGTTTTCTAGAGATACCATGATGATAGCTTTGAGAATATTATCCTTATTTGATGATGACCATTGGCCATAGTAGTGAAAGGTTGTTTTCTAGTTATATTTCATAGACGCACCAATATCCGTGCACTCGCCACGAATTAAGAACTATGATGCCAAGTCCCAGACAAGAATTTCGATGTAAAGGAAACGGAGAAGACAAAGGTAATTGTTACAAAGATCCATAAGGCGGTCGCCAACAATAAGAAAATGTGGGAAGAAAGAAGGATTGTTCGCAGCTTATATTCGCTTTGACAAATACACCACCCATAGCATAACTCAACCCTGGGCCTGGCTTTCCTGGTTCAATAGCTCTGCAACATCCGCATCGAGATCGCCGCCTGCGAACTTTGCATAGTCCTCCTCTTCATGTGCGACTTTCCTCTTCTTGGCCTGGAATCCGTTCATACTGTCTTGCGTGACCTCTCCATACCCTGTTGTGGAAGGTTGGCCTGGGCCGCTGAGTCCAGGAATGGAAGCATCGATAGGGTTGTCGAATCCCAAAGAAAAGCCCGTAATCGAGTGACCTCCGTTCTCCTCATTGGATGCCTCGCCCTGCAGCTCTCGTTTCGGCGAGTCAACTGGTGTAATAGCCTCAACAGGAGGCGGCGTGAGAGCTTCCACTTCTGGGCGAGAAACGGCGTCTCCAGTGGCCCCAGTAGCTCCTAGTTCGGCCGCTGGAGTGTTCTCGGCGGAAAGGCCTCTCATTATTGCATCCTCGACATCTCGTTTCTTCGCTTCAGTTTCGGCCTTCCTTTCCTGCAGCTGCACTGCCAGAGCTTCCTCCTTCGACAGAGCTGTACGATTGGTTTCAAGAATCTTTTCCAACCCATCAATAAGGGCAGCGCGTGACTTGATGACCTCTGATACGGAGCTTTCTGCATTTGCAAGCGTTTTCAGAAGTTGACTAAGACGGGCCGCATGGACTGGAGGGGTCGGTAATGGCGCATTGGGATCATTCATCTTTTCATATTCTGAATTGGCTGCCGTTCCAGACGTCCCAGATGCAACGGCCGCCTTTGAAAGTGATACCTGTAGCGGAACCAATGGTTGTAACTCCGACGGTGTTGAACCGGATGGACTCGAAAATAGCGAGCCACCGAGCAACGGCTTCTTGCCGGTGGAGCGTGACTTGTCGATTTCTAATTATGTGAGCTGCCGGTCTACAAATCGAACTATGGTGGTCTTACCATCCACGCGGGCTTCGACTGCGTCCTGGATTGGAGGTTCAAAAATAGACCGTTGTCTCCAAACTTCAACCACGCGCCTGATCTTCTGCTGAATATCATTTGAGGAACCCTTGTATGCAGTTGTCACGGCTTCGGCAATGATCTAATCCATATTAGCTGTGTCTCTTATCTGCTTCCGTATGGCGCGCACTAACCGGCGAAAAGGCAATAAGAAAATCTTCTTTACGGCGTGCTCTTGACTGCTGTGCAACCTCTGTTTCCCTTATCAGTCTCGAAATACCGGTGGCTTCCGATGGGGAACGTACCGTTTGCGAGGTATATAAGGTTGAGGCGTTTCGCGGCCGGAGATTCGCGGAGCTTCTGGAGCCAGAGTTGTGCAGTCCGCTCGGCATGCCGTCTAAGGGTTGCTTCGTTAGTAAGTGAAGCATTAAGAGACATAAATCGGACGATTGTACCTGTGAAACATAACCCATTGCGCGACGGTCACAATGCCCTCCTGTGTCTCATTCAGAGCAGACAGCTTGGCCTTAACTGAATCATCGGTATACGCCATGGTCGTTAAAAATTTCAGGAACAGGTAAGATATTGGACTGATTTGACAGACAAATAATGGGGGAAACGGGTGAAGACCAGTGTTGATTGCTTCACCGTTTGCGCTGAACGCTATCCACTTCCGAGCGTCGGGGATCAACTCAATCACCCATTCAACACTCAACCCTCGACAATGAGAAGTGAAGGGAAGCTGTTATACAGATCACCTAGATTTGTGCCTAGCGAAGATATAAAGTGCGTTATCAGATCATTCTCTTCTCAGGTTTCAAAGAGTTGAGCCAAGGAAGCAACATTTCAAGCTCTCTGTCGCACCTGTAGGTCCGAGCTCGTTCACCGCTCGTACGGCAGAATCCCCGGGCCTCAGCCATTGTCTCCCTAACACTCTCTCAAGAAGCCACCTGGAACATCACTTTCTCATCAATTCTCGCCTCCTGGTCTGTTTATCACATACGCCTACTATACAAGGGAACAGGCTCAGTGATTATACTTACAAATCTCCATTATGGCTGACCGTTTTCCCTCATTGGAGGACTTCTCCGCGGGTTAGGTGCCCGCATCACTTACCTGAAGTGTCCCCAAAACTAACAATAACGTCTAGGGCAGACAGAAGCTATCGAAACCAACGGCACAAATGAGGACGACTTTCTAGCTCGTGAGCGAGCACTCCTCGGAGACGATGCGGACCAATTTGCCACTGCTCAAGATGCCACTTCTCCAGATGTCAACAAGGATGAGCTATTGGGCGGCTCGGAAGAGGTACAGGCCGATGCTGGACCTGAGATTTCGGGATTTGAATCTTCATTCCCAGCTATAGATACACAGAATGAAGTATGCGAATGAATCTGCGACGTGCTCTTCAAGAATGCCAAAAAGCTAATGTGTCTGGTGTTCTACAGCAAGTTGCTCCTGGTGGTACTATCACCGGCACTGGAGCACCATTCCCACCCACTGGCTATTCGAGCTATCAGGCCCCTGAGGAAGAGGGAGAACCTGTCAGGTATGTCCAACATTATCTTCGATTACCAGCCTACCCGATTCTCTACCCATTCAATCATTTTATCTATTGACCGAATGCTAACCATTTGTTTGCGCTTAGGGAATGGCGTGAGAAACGGGATGCGGATACTGCACGTCGAGCGGAGATCTCTAACGAGAAGAAGGAGGCAACCATTACGAAGGCCAGAGAGGATATCGATGACTTCTACGTGTCTTACAACAACAAGACGGACAAGCTTCGCGCCCAAACTGCTGCCGAAGCAGAGCAGTTCCTTGCGAGTCGCGAAAACACATCTGCCGGGGGAACAAGCTGGGAGCGGATTGCGAAGCTCGTGGATGTATCTGGAAAGGGCACCAGAGGCGGTGCGAGCGGCTCTGGCAAAGAACGTTTCCGAGAGATGCTGCTTAATCTCAAGAAGGATGAGAAAGCACCTGGCGCCAGTGGGGTTTGAATTTACTCTTCTGCTAATTCTCTAATTTTCTGGCCCGTTTTCTTTCGCCTGATGTACGTAAATAACGCACTTCACTTTTTTTAGCTTGTATGCCACCATTTTATTACCTTTGACATGCTGTGGGAACAATGATTGGTTCACGCAGAAACGCAGGAGTTTTATGGGTTATGGGCAAAGATGATAAACAGCTGGTGCTTTGGGAGGGTGGCAGTCGGTTCCAATCTCCCGGGAGGCGTACATTAGTTACCCCCAAAGTTCCTCTTCATTATGTACTAATATTTCTGAGAATTATAAGACAAAACAGCACATCATGGTACAGTCCATACGTATGATTCAAGCCTACTTAAACTTTTTGTACCTTCAATCCAATTCAGTTACATCGCCCCCGGGCTCCCCGACCTCCTCCACCTCCTTCTCTCGCTTGCCCTCCGCCTCAATCTCTTCGAGTTTCTTCCGGCCTTCCTCCGTGGTAGCATCGACAATACCCTCCTCTAGACTGAGCATACCGCTTTCCCCCAGTTTTTCGACCACGTCTTCGGCCTCCTCGACACTCATCTTCCCGAGAACTTTGTTGACCTCGTCCAATGATTCGGATGCCAATGCCTTTTGCAGATCCTTGGAGAAGGAGTCGAATATTTTTCGCGCTTCAATTTCGATAGGCTCGCTGCTTTCGCTTTTAGGAATGTTTATGGTAATTTTGGTGTTCGGATCAACAGCGTGGAGTTGGATTTGCTCTACACCAGCGGGGTCGTTGGATGCAGAACTATCCTTCGCTAGTTCAGCAGCACGAGTTTTGATCTTGTTGTAGGTTTCATTGACATCATTTCGGAACAGGGTGCCTGCTTGGTGTTCTCTTGTCGTGATACTATACGAGAAGAGCAGTCAGTTATCACAGTGTAAGCTAATCAAGTCTTGGGTAACGTACCGTTTGAAGAAGAGTGAGATTCCATCGGGTCCAAGCGAGCGGCAATACTGCAATAACAGGCCTTGATGCACACATTGTCGGGCATAATCCTCCTTTCCGTCCATTTGACTATTAAACGCCTCAACCAGCAAACCATCCGTCTCTTTCTCTGCAACGATTTTCGGGTGGTCAGTTATGTATCGGTGCAGAGCGCGGTAGTCATTCCGGTCGATTTTCGCAAATTTCTTGGCCATCTCGCTGGCTTGTATATTATCCGGGTCATCAACAGCCTCGTCGTCGTCGCCATCTTGGCCTGAAGCTCCTGGAGTTGCATTCGGGTTCAGCAGCTCAACTGAACTTGTTTTTTCTGCCGTCGGCGCTGCGTCCTTGTGTCTGGCTACGTGCGAAGTGTCGAAGCCTGTATGGATAGATTCACTTGTAATCTTGCTGCCCTCTTCTTTCTCAAGCTCCGCAAGCTTTGCAAGCAGTTCTTTTTGTAAACCCTGGACCTTGTCCTTGTGTCCCTGCACGCCCTTGACATATGCTTGAAATGAATTGTCGGATTTTGATTCTTCAATTTCCTTCTTGACTTGATCCACCAACGCACTCATCATCTGAGAATATTTCGGTTGTTCCTTTTCCTGTGTATGGACGCCCTCTGGGGCCGAGGGCGGCTGGTCATCTGCGGGATTGCTCGCGAATTGCATGAGCGTTGAGAAGATGACTTCTTCCGGGTCGGATGAAGATCCTTCTTTCTCTTTAAACGAGGAAAGGAGCTTCTCGATTCGTGAAAGAAGGCCATCGTTAATGATACGTTCATATTTTAGAGTTTGGATGTCATGACGCCGTTGCTCTCGTTGCTGATGAATCTGGGCCTGTTTGGCTCGGATGAAAGAACGTTTGTCGACGTTTGGGTGCACCTCGATGTCCGAGTCGTCCGAAAGCTCCAGGGCGTCCCACTTGCTGTAGTCCAACACCATCTTGAACAGAGAACTATACAAAGAGGGGTGGAAAGTGGGGTATAAAACAAAGAGAATCCAAACTCAGCAGTTCGGGAAAAGACGAGCTCAAAGCAAAGTAGCCGGGGTTATATTAGTACCTGCATCCACTTCCACTTGGGTAAGCCTCGCGAAAATAGGATGGAAGTAACAGCAGCCGCCTCTAGCAATGACAAAGTCTCCATTGCTCTCGATCATATTCTATCGGAGTGTGACAGGCGGTGGCAGGCGGCAAAACTCGGCCTGTCTGATTCCTCCGATCTCGTCCCGTCGGGATCTTGATTGCTCGATTATCTCGCATCTGACCAAACTCATAGCTTTCACCCACTGTTGTCCATTGCGAAACCGTGATTGATATCCGCACGACTGTCATGAGCTCCCCACGAACATCTTTTGCTGATCAGTGAGATATGGCACCTGGTTTGCCCATTATCACATCATTTTGACCAGCCCAGCCGTTCACTTCACAGTCAAGTCCGAGATGCGCGGTCTTGGGTTACGAGCTTCCTGGGCTACAGGGGCTCATTCGAAGCCGATAACTACACCAAATGGCAGTATCCTAACGGGGTTATGCTCTGCCACACGCCAAACCACCCAGAGTTGTGGTGTCCAGGGTGTCTTCCTCCGGCAATTTTCGGGGTTTTCGGGATCGGTCTACAATCACGGAATACCTCACATTGACCGGAATAATGTGCCAACCCATGCTTTATTTCCAAAAATTACACGATACACCAGTTTTAGATCACCGATTCTCAAGCAATTCCGTGGATTCTCTTCGACCCAACGGTTCCTCCAGACCCAGCCTTCCGCCCAGCCGACGAATACCTCGCGCGCGGAAAACAGGGACAAACAAGACGAAGATAAAGATGAAGGATTTGAGCTATCTGAAAAGGCAGCGCAAGCGGCGCAAGTTAACCTTCGCGCAAAGTTAAACAAAGACGGTGGTGGTGGGAAAGGCTCTGGGTTCGGCGAAGTATGGAGGCTTCTACTCATTGCGCGACCCGAAGCAAAGAAACTCGGCTTAGCCTTTTTCTTCTTATTGATTTCTTCATCAATTACCATGTCACTTCCTTTCTCAATCGGCAAGATCATCGATGCTTCAACAAAGTCATCAGAAGGTGGTGAATTTCTTTTCGGTCTGAGCCCTACTATGTTCTACGGTGCCCTGGCAAGTATTCTTGCATTCGGTGCTGCTGCAAACTACGGCCGTATAATTATCTTACGAATTGTGGGGGAGCGCATCGTCGCGAGAACCCGTTCAAAGCTTTTCCGCCAGACCTTCGTTCAGGATGCCGAGTTCTTTGATGCAAATAGGGTCGGAGACCTGATTTCTCGACTTAGTTCTGACACCATCATCGTCGGCAAAAGCATTACTCAGAATCTTTCGGACGGGTTGCGGGCAGGTGTTAGCGGCGCAGCTGGCTTTGGTATGATGGCTTATGTCAGTCTTAAGCTATCCAGTATCCTCGCACTATTGCTTCCTCCAATTGGACTAGGCGCAATCTTCTACGGAAGGGCAATCAGAAACCTCAGTCGCCAAATTCAAAGGAATCTAGGAACCCTGACCAAGATTGCGGAAGAGCGTTTGGGAAATGTGAAAACGAGTCAATCATTCGCTGGTGAAGTTCTCGAGGTCAATCGTTACAATACTCAAGTACGGAAGATTTTTGAGCTCGGGAAGAAAGAGTCGCTGATAAGTGCAACTTTCTTCAGTTCTGTAAGTCCCTCGCGCTCCCAATTTGCGCGAAGCCAAGCTGACAATTTAATAGACTGGACTTATGGGAAATTTAACGATCTTAGCGCTTCTTTATGTAGGAGGTGGCATGGTCAAGTCTGGCGCTATCAGTATTGGAGAGCTTACATCCTTCTTGATGTACACGGCTTATGCAGGGTCTAGCATGTTTGGCATGTCGAGTTTCTACTCTGAATTAATGAAGGGAGTCGGCGCAGCGAGTCGACTGTTTGAACTCCAGGATCGTGAGCCGACAATATCTCCCACCAAGGGTACCAAAGTCGTGACTGCCCGGGGCCCTATTCGCTTTGAGAATGTCACCTTCAGTTACCCAACCAGGCCCGCTGTTCCAATCTTCAAGGAACTCAAC